TCTGCACACATATTTCTTGTATATTTATGTTTATAATGTTCATTATACTTGACATCTGCCTATCACATTCTAATTTTAATTCCTGCTTTGGAACTGTAAGAAACCAAATAATAAAGAATTATAGTATGAAAGAAATGTTCAAAATGGAAAAAGACCATTCAGTGCATTTTAATTGGTGCTTTGGTAGAGCAATCCAATACTGATCCCACCTTGAATGATAGAATGAAACCTGTTGGCACAATCCGCTGTGGTAGCTCTTCAGTCAAGCCATTCAATTTATCTCACGCTCTGTTCTTTCCCTATAGTCACGTTATTTTGTTCCGTTCAAGTATTCACCTTTTCCTTTGAAAATGAACTTGCTTTGATCATCCTTTCATACTCCAGATCAATATAACACATAGTAGAAAAATATTTTTTTCATGGTACTCAGCCTTTATCACCTAGTTGTCAATCCATCTACCAATGAAAAATGTTTATCCTTAATTACTGTACAAAACACTTCATGATTTTGAGCATCTTTATCAAATTTCCTTTTGACCTACTCTGCTCTATGAACAAATTGTTACTCCAATCTCTCCATGTAACTAAAATATCTCACCCCGGTAACATTTTCGTCAATTTCCTCTGTATCCTCTCTCAGATCTTGACATCATTCCCAGTGTGTGATGCCCAAAGTGGTAGACAATATTCTGGATGATAATGCTTTATAATGCTTTAGCATAACATTCTTGTTTTTGTATTCTGTGTCTCCAGTAATAAATCCAAATATCACCGATACTTTTTAACAAGCTCTCAATGTGTCCTGCTACCTCCAAAAAAAATGTGTGCATAGGTTTCTAGATTTCTCTGTTTATGAATCAGTGTTAACATTACATTTTTTTAGTTTGTAATGCCTTCTCATTTTTCCTACCAAAATGTACAACTTCACACTTCTTTAAGTACGTTTAGTCTCCCTTACATCATCCCATTCATCATTCTAAGTCTTTCCAAAATCTATGACCATCCTCCTTATTGTCATCTGCAAACTTTGAAATTATCCTCTGTAAACTCAAGCCCAAATCATTAATTTATCAGAGAACAATGGTCCCTACATGGATTCCTGGGGAAGTGTATTCTTTCCTCCCATTTGAGAAACAATTGTTCATAATACTGAGATAACAAGGTGTACAGCTGGATGAACACAGCAGGCCAAGCAGCATCAGAGGAGCAGGAAAGCTGACATTTCGGGTCTAGACCCTTCTTCAGAAATTTCGGCAGTTCCTACCATCTCTGTTCATAATACTGTCTGTTTTCTGTCTTTTAAGTAGCTTCATATTCATCCTATCACAGCTATTATAATCTTGTAGGCTTTAATTTTGCTAACAAGTCCAATATGTGGCACTTTATCAAATGCATTCAGGAAAACCATATACAAAAACCCTCTCTTTTACTTCATCATAGAACCTCATCAGGTTAGTCAAACAGTAAAGCCAGTACAGATTTGTTGAGGGCAAATTGTGTTTAATTAACTTTCTGGAGTTGTTTAATGAGATAATAGAGATGGTGAAGGTAGATGTGGTGTACAGGGACTTGCAAAAGGCATTTGATAAAGTGCCACACAACATGCTTAAGGACAAAGTTGAATCCATAGAATAAAAGGAACAGTAACAGAGTGATGGGAAATAAAGAATAGTGGTGGTGAACAGATTTTCAGACAGAGGGATGAAGATGCGCTTCCCCAAGGGTCAGTGTTAGGATCATTGCTTCTTGAACCATATTCAACCCATTGTATCTGTGCTGGTTTTCTGAAAAGCAATTTATCTAATCCCAATAGCCCAATTTCCCCCATGACCGTGAACATTTTGTTTCACTTCAGTTAATTTTCCAATTTTCTTTTGAAAGCCATGATTGAATTTGCCTCCAGTACCCTCTCCAGCAGTGCGTTCCAGATCCTAACCATTCACTGTACAAAAATAAGCTTTTTATCATGTTGCCATTTCTTCTTTTGGTGTCCCTTGATTTTTGATTATTCCATCAATGGAAACAGTTTCCTACCGACTTAGAGATCTCTCGTGATTTTGCAGATCTCTGTCAAATGTCCTCTCAACCTTTTCTTCTCCAAGATCAGCTGCAGCTTCTCCCATCTATCAACATCGCTGAAGTCCCTCATACCTGCAATAATGCTTGCATTCTGCTTTCTGTGTAATACCTCTCCTTGCATCCTAAACTCTGGTGCCCAGGATCTGACGCGATTCTTCATTTGAGGCTGAATGAATACTTTATAAAAGTTTGCCATAACATAATTGCTTTTGCACTCAACTCCTGTCTATATAAAGTCCAGGATCCTGTCGCCCATTCCCAGAACCTTTGCTAAAGCAAGTGTTTGGGAGTGTGAAGTGGCAAGTGAAAGAGGTGGAAAGCTTGCATTTCAGGGAGACGGAGGGTCAGGGAGCGTGAGGCCTTGAACATAGGGTCAGTAGTGAGAGGAAGTTCAGGGATTGGCAAAGGCTGTGAGCAGAGAAGTTGACAAGAGGAAGGGTCCGTCGTCACTGGGAGAAGCTAGCAAGAAGGAGCTTCCATGAGCTGGACAGTCAGTGAGATAGATGGTTGAGGGGAGACAAGTAGAAAGTTAGCATATTTCTTTTACATTTCAAACTTTATTCATTTTAAAAGTTATTTCATTCACCACATGGGAATTCAGCAACATGTGGCATTTTAACATACAGTTATAATGTTTTAATGATGAGAAAAATCTGGCAGAACCTGCTGGTTCACTGTCTTTAATGGGAAAAATCCAGTTTAATTCAGGTTGTTTTACTAAAATTTGCACTTTTCAGGAATGCAACCAGAACATGAAGTGAAGACTTGCTGTATCCCTTTATCTGCTTATTTTCAATCTTATATGTAAAAGACCAAGTAATTGACCATTTATTCCTCAGAGCTGATCTTCAATACAAAAATATTGAAAACTCTCTGGAAGGGATTGAGCGATATGCTATATCGAAATATCTTTTCAAGTCTGGCATCCAAGTTCATGTCCAGTCTCACTGAAATAAAATGGAACAGGGATTTTGTGATGGGTGATAACCAAAAGTCCAGATTCAGGATGTAATAATTTTGAATAAAACTAATTAAAAATATTATAACTATGAATGAGGGACAATTTGATGACAGCCCCACATTCTACCATATACCATTATTCTTGCATCATCCATGATATTGTTTTCCAACACTGAAGATGATTGCAACTGCTTTTGTTTTGCCTACATAATATGTCACTGTACTTTGTTGTGATGTAGAAGTGTAAATCCAGTTCAAAGAATATGATATAGTCATTATCACTGAAAGTTATTTGCAATTTGTGAGATAAGTATTCCAAGTTATAAATTATGACAAAGCAATGTTAATTTTGAACACTATTACAGCATTAGAATGGATATCAGTAAAGGTGATCAGGTAGTAGATACTCTATGGGTAGAATTGAGGAACAAAAACAATGTCATTCTTTGGAGCAAGTTGTTCATTGACATTTTGATTGTAATAATAGAACGGCAGAGTATGGCAACACAAGGATGAGAGAAGATTATTACTGTAACAGTGTTGTTATAATGGGAGATTTTAATTTTCACGTGGGCTGGGAGAAGCAAAACAACTCAAGTACCAAAGGCAGTGAATTTCTTCAGTGTATTTTCTGGGATAGAATTCTCTGGGCCCACTAGCACGCACCCAATGTTTTGGGTCCAACCCTTCTACTGGACTGGATGTGGGGATAGGGGGAGCTGCAGATAAGCGGGGTTGGGTGGGAGGTGGTGGTGGGTGGAGGCGGAATGGTGGTGATAGGTACTCAGTACGCCAGTCAAGACTGACGTCAGGAAACATTTCTTACACAAAGGGAATTTGAAAACTATTTACACACTCCCCCAGAACATTATTGAGGCTAGATCAACAGAAAATCTTAAAACTAAGATTGATTTTTTTTTGTTAGAAAAGCATATTAAAGACTATGAAACTATGGCCATGTGTATGGTAGTGTGGATTCAGGTTCAGATCAGCCATAATCTAATGAGTTTGAGGTTCTGAAGAAGGGTACTGGACTCGAAACATGAACAATGCTTTCACTTCACAGATAATGTCAGATCTGCTGAGTTTCTCCAGCAAATTCTGTTTTTGTTTCATAATCTAATGAGTAATTGAACAGGCTGGATGATCTGCAGGCCCTCCTTTTCTTGTGTTCCAAAGGAAGTCATAGTGCCTCAATCACTTTGGGATATTGTTGCAAAATGTGACATAAATGAAACTCTTGTCCTTCCTGCTCTTGTTTCAGTTCTTTTGGATATCATTGAATGTTAGATCTCTTTGCCTCTCCGCTGAGACCAGTATTCATTTAAAATTTTCGGCAGCTCATCTATTGCTTTGTTAGAAAAAAGGCAGCGTTTTGGTAGCCTTGTGGAGGAAGGCTTTGAGGGAGGTCAGGGGGGATCCATAATAAAAAAAAACCGTCGGGGATAGGAAGCAGGATAGTAAGCGACAGGATAAAACCCACAAGCAGCAATAACAAAACAGCAGAAATATTAAAAGTTGCGATTCGGTCCGAGCAGCTTCTTCGAACTGCCCAAGTGCTGAAACTATTCTAATAAACCTTTTATTTCATTCTAACCGCAAGATCCAACTCATTATAAAAAACCGAAAGAGCTGAGAATGTTGGAAATCAGAAGTTGCTGGAAAAAGAAAAGCTCAGCAGGTCTGGCAGCATCTGTGCAGAGAAAGCAGAGTTAAAGTTTCGGGTGCATTGGCCTGTTAATTTCTGTTTTTGTTCCAAATTTATTGTGTGCGTATTTAAAACGGCCGCGAATTGACCAGGTCCCATTGACCACAGTGTCCCACAACTGAGTCCATACAATTGGCGCGATGTATCCTTTTTGTTTGAGGAAATAGCCATTCTCCCGCCTTCTGCTGGGATTGGATACAGTATCTAATTGCCGAAAGTTTCCGGTGCCCGGCTCCTTTCTCTTGGTTCCCTTCTCTGTCAATCAGTCCGGCCCTTGGCAACATGGCTCAGAGAGGGGCTGCCTGCGAGAGAACTCTGTCGCAGATTCACGCCACTTTACATGTGGCCAAACTAGACCCGTCCGAGTTACAGCCAACAGTCCAATGCCTCTCATTCAGCGAGAGTTTCAGCTCCGAGGATTACTGCCTCATGGAAGTGGACGAAACGCTGTGCAAACACATCGAATCTGGGCAGAGGTAGGGTTCCCGTTGTAACACAGCTTAGTGTGCACAGGTTTATGTCTTTTGGACCAGAAGGTGCCAGAGAAACTCAACTGGCCTGGCAGCGTCTATGGAGAAGAAGACAGACTTTAACGTTTTCTTCACATCAGACTCGAAACGTTAAGTAAAAACCGAAATCAGAAACAAAAACAGAGAAAATGCTGGACAAGCTCAGCAGGTTAACGTTACCTCTGCCTCTCTCCACAGATGCTACCAGACCTGTTGAGCTTCTCCGGCACTTTGAGATTTCCAGCATCTGCAGAACTTTGCTTTTGTCTGTCTCTTGATCTTTTCACCGGCAGCAATCTCCAGCAGGAAAGTTTAAACTTTGTCTTCCTGGAATACGACGATGTGTGCGATATAAAATTCAAACACATGGCCCCAAATGAGGCGTTTCATTTTAAAATAGCATTAACAATTGGGGATGACAAGGTGTGGAGTTGGATGAACACAGCAGGTCAGGCAGCATCAGAGGAGCAGGAAAGGGACCGTTCTTCAGAAATTAGTGTCATTAAAAATTGGTGTCTTTTTCACACAATACGAAATAACCGTTCACACCATAATCTGGGAAATACATATTCTGCTGAAGAACAAAATCAAATTCAACCCCAGTGAGATGAGTGAAAATTTAATTGAGAGCCGTGTGCCTTGTAGATGATAGACAGGCTTTGGGAAGAATGAATCTACACGATTCCTACCCTCTGACCTGCTGCTGTATTTATATGGCCAGTTCACAGAGTCATATAGCACGGAAACAGACCCTTCAATCCAATTCGTTCATTCCAACCAAGTCTCCCAAACTAAACCAGTCCCATTTGCCTGCGTTTTGCCCATGTCCCTCTAAACCTTTTCTGTTCATGTACCTATCCAAAAGTCTTTTAAAAGTTATGCTATGGACTAGGCCAGATCCCCTCAAAATATTCTAAGAAGGTAGCCTAGATTCTAACTTTTTCTTATTTTAAAGGCAACTTATTTAAACAGTACAGTTAAAACATGAACAAAAGAAAGAGGAATTTAGAATGGCACCTGTGTGGCAAAAATGTTACTTGGCAATTTATCAGCCTAAACCTGGATGTGGTTCAGATCATGCTGCACATGCACACATTCGGCTTCAGTGTCTTAGAAGTTGTGAGTGTACTGAGCATTGTACAATCATCAATGGACATCCCCATCTCTGACTGAATGATAGAGGGAAGTTCATTGAAGCAGTTGAAGATGTTTGGGCCAAGGATGCTATCCTGAGGAACACATGAAGTTAGGGACCCTCTTCCTTTGTGCCAGGTATTACTCTAACCAGCAGAGCGATTTCCCCCATTCCCACTGACTCCAGTTCTGCAATGGTTCCGTGATGCTATACTTGGTTGAATGTTGCCTTGATGTCAAGGGCAGTCAATCTCATAATAGCTCTGGAGTTCATCTCTGCTGTCTATGTTTGATCCAGTGTAATATGGTCAGGAGCTGAGTGATCTTGGTGGAACCCAGCATATTTCTTTACTGGTGTAACGTGATAGCACTGTTGACAAGTTCTTCCATCAGTTTGCTGATGTTGGAGAGCAAAATCTAAGTGATCCAAGGTAGTCTCCAAAAAATGAAATAGGAAATTCCAAAGAAATCTCTTTACCTAGAGAACGGTGGGCTGTCACAGGGAAGAGTTGTGACAAACAGTATTGATACATTTAAAGGGAAGGTAGACAATAACCTGCAGGAGAAGGAAAAACAGAATTATGCTGATAGTCATTTAGGGAAATTGGTTGAATGGATCATAAAAGCATGAACTGGCAGGGCTGAATGGCTTGTTTGTGTGCTATACATTCTGTGTAATTCTATATGGCAGTTCTGTTGCTGAGCAGCTGTACAATAGGGTCATTTACAACACAGAATGACGCCATTTGGGCCATGCCAGGTCCCTGGAGCAAACCAGTTAGTTCCATTCTTTTGCTGTATCGCCATAGCCCCGGGAATGTGTTTCCGTCAAGAGCCCAATCAGTTTCCTTCAGAAACCATTGGTCGTTGCTGCTTCCATCTTCCTTACAGCAGCAGGTTTCAGGTTATTACCACTTGTTGCATAAAAAGTTCTTCCTCACATTCCCCCTGCATCTGTAGCCCAAGATCTTTAATCTATGTCCCCTGAGTTCTTGTATCATTCACCACTGGGAACAGCTTTACCTTGTGAACCTTACTCAAACCTACCATAACCTTGTAAACCTCGACCAATTCCTGCTCCCCGCCCTCCCCCCCACCACCATCCCCACCATCACCGTCACCAATATCCTTTGATTGTGTTTTTTTCCCGATGTAACCTTGTAGCTAAATTGGTGTATCCAGGAGCCATTCTGGTAAGTTAAAAGTCTAGCATCACTTTTCTGCTTTTGAACACAATATCTCTTTGAAGCCCGCAATCCCATATGGTTTGCCAACCACTTGCATCATTTCTTGCTATCTTCAAAGATTTGTGTTTTGCTCATGTCCACTCAGACACAATTTTGATAATCAATCTTTTATGTGAGCTCAGTTAGCTGAATGGTTGGTTTGCGATGCAGAGTGATGCTAACAGTGTGGATTCACTTCCCACCAGCTCAGGTAACCATTGAAGACTCCCCTTCTCAATGTCTCTCATTGCCTGAGGAATGGTGACCCTCGTGTTAAACCACCTCCAGTTGTCTGTCTCTAATGAGAGAGCAGCCCTATGGTCCAGTAGGACAATGATGACTTTACCTTTACCTTTCAACTTTTTCTTAAAACTTAGACAATATCTGCTGCATTCTCTTCATCAATATTATTTAATCAAAAGTTAAAATGAGCTTTAGTTGGGTACAATCTGCCTTTTACAACTTATGCTGATTCTCCTTAATTAATTAATCCCCCCCCCACCACCGGTTATTATTTCTAAAATCTTACTCATCACTGATGTGAAACTAATTGGCCTTTAGTTCTTAGGACCATTACGTATTTTCTAAAATCAGGTTGTCACACCTGCAATCCTTGAGCACTTTGTATGTAGGGAAGATTATGGCAAACGCTTCAGCCATCTCCACCACTGTACAAGATACCTGTTAAATATTCTAGCCATGCCATTCTCCTTTAAGCATATGTCACCATGTTGGCCTGCATTAGGACCTGCTTCATCTCTTAGATTAAATGCTGGAAGAGGGATTTCAGGGTGTCTTTTACGTTGTCTGTCATTCTATTCTTTATAGTATTTGCCAGTCCTATTTTCCTCTTCACTTTCCCTCTCAATCCATTGTTGTTAACCTAATACTCACTTAAAGAATTCAATTGACATGCTTCACGTATTATCTTTTCCTCATAGAATCATAGAATCCCTACAGTGTGGAAGCAGGCCATTTGGCCCATCGCGTCCACACCAACCCTCCGAAGATCATCCCTCCCAGACACACTCCCCAAACCCTATCCCCGTAACCCTGCATTTCCCATGGCTAACCCACCCAGCCTGCACATCCCTGGACAATTTAACATGGCCAATCCACCTAACCTGCATATCTTTGGACTATGAGAGGAAACCGGAGCAACTGGAGGAAACCCACGCAGACCTTGCAGACAGACAGTCTCCCGAGGCTGGAAACAAACCCAGGTACCTGGTGCTGTGAGGCAGCAGTGCTAACCACTGACCTGCCATGCCAACCCTGGTCATCAAAGGTTCTTTGACATTGCTTGCCTACCGTTTGCTGTTATTAGAATGTATCTAGCCAGTATCTGAAGCATCCCCTCAGAGATTACCCAATGGACAATTGCAGTTGATTTTGTAAATCTTTTGTTCCATTTTATCCTGACCAATTTCCTGCTTATTATTAAAAGTGCATTGTCCCCCCTCCATCACATTTAACCAAGTGTACTCCCATAGACCCTTGGCCGACCTGTCCCTCCAGCAATACCTCTTTTTGAGTTAGAAAGAGACATGGGGGAGGCGATGGCCTAGTGGTATTATCGCTGGATTGTTAATCAGATAATGTCCTGTGGATCTGGGTTGGAATCCCGCCATGGCAGATGGTGGACTCAATAAAAATCTGGAATTAGGAGTCTAATGATGACGATGAATCCATTGTCGATTGTCAGGAAAAACTCACCTGGTTCACTAATGCCTTTTAGGGAAGGAAACTGCCATCCTTACCTGGTCTGGCTTACATGTGACTCCAGACCCACAGCAATGTGGTTGGCTCTTAACTGCCCTCTGGGCAATTAGGGATGGGCAATAAATGCTGTCTAGCCTGTGATGCTCTCATCCCATGAATAAATAAAGAAAAAAAAATTGTCAAAGAAGTTCTTCTGAACATATTTCACAACTTCCCTGCTTCCTTACCTATTTACTCTCACAGTATTCCAAACGATATATGGGTACAGTAAATGAGAGCCCCATGTATCATCACTCAACTGTTCTGGCACATTGCTGTGACTTCTCTGCAGATTTGCTCCTCTATCTCTCTTTTGGTATTTGGATGCTGATGGAACACTTCAGCAGCATGATCCGACCAGTTTTTCTTAGCCTGAACCAGATTCTGTCTTTACCCCTTATAGGATATCTTCTCTTTCCAACACTACAATGTCTTCTCTGATCAGTACTCAACTCCACTTCCCTTTTTCCTTCCCTGCTTTTTCTGAACACTTTATATTTTTGATAGTGAACTAGCTAGCCCTCAGCATTTTAACCCACTTTTCCACTATTGCTGCTACATAATATTTCTATGTGACGATTTAGTTCACCAGCCTCGTTCATCACACTTTGTGCTTTTTTATATATGCTGTAAACCTATTTTTGTATTCCACATGTTCATAGTGTCATAGTCATACAGATGTACAGCATGGAAAGAGACCCTTCGGTCCAACTCATCCATACCGACCAGATATCCTAAATTAATCTAGTCCCATTTGCCAATATTTGTCCCATATCCCTCCAAACACTTCCTACTTGTTTACCCAACCAGATACCTTTTAAATGTTGTAATTGCACCCTCCTTAACCACTTTCTCTGGCAGTTCATTCCACACACACACCACCCTCTGTGTGAAGAAGTTGTTCCTTCGGTCGCTTTTAAATCTTTCCCCCTCTCACCTTAAACATATGCCCTCTCGTTTTGGACTCCCCTACCCTCGGGAAAAGACTTTGACTATTCACCATATACGTGCCCCTCATGATTTTATAAACTTCTTTAAGGTCACCCCTCAGCCTCTGACACATAGCCCCAGCCTATTCACCCTCCAACCCTGGCAACACCCTTGTAAATCTTTTCTGAACCCTTTCAAGTTTTACAACATCCTTCCTATAGGAGGGAGACCAGAACTGCACACACTATTCCGAAAGTGGCCTAACCAATGTCCTGTACAGCCATAACATGACCTCCCAACTCTTATACTCGACGCACTGACCAATAAAGGCAAGCATAACAAATGCCTTCTTCACTACCTATATAATATGGTATGCCTCCCTTATCCATTACTGGCTCACATTTTCACTTTACACATCCTGTTCTTCTTTTCTACTCTTGCATACCCACACCTTTTGAATTGGTGTCTGCTGCCCCAGAAGTGGCTCAAAGAACCTGAACCTCTCCCTCCTGCGCCATGCCTGAAGCTATGCTTTGGTCCTCTGTTTTTCTTATTTCTTCCCTCAATTGTTGCAAGTGACTAGGAATAATGCAGAGATCATCTTGGAAGTGCTTTTTGTTAATTTGCTCCCTAAATCTTGAAAATCCAACCATAGGACCTCAAAGATAGCAGGAACTGCAGATGCTGGAGAATCTGAGACAACAAGGTGCAGAGCTGGATGAACACAGCAGGCCAAGCAGCATCATAGGAGCAGGAAAGCTGACGTTTTGGGCCTAGACCCTTCATCAGAAATGGGGGAGGGGGAGGGGGTTCAGAAATAAATAGGGAGAGAGGGGGAGGCGGATAGAAGATGGATAGAGGAGAGGATAGGTGGAGAGGAAACAGACAGGTCAAAGAGGCGGGGATGGAGCCAGTAAAGGTGAGTGTAGGTGGGGAGGTAGGGAGGAGATAGGTCAGTCCAGGGAGGACGGACAGGTCAAGGGGGCAGGATGAAGTTAGTA